ATAAAATATGTAATGTACGTATAATTTCCTCACTTGCACCGACAATTTTATGATGATTAAATTAGGTTTCAAACTTAAGGCCCGGGTGCACTATTTTTCGAATGTTATCTGGATTTTTTTTCTTTCGTAATCCAAAATTATCAATTGGGTGGTACATCATATAGAAATTCCCAAAAATTATGATAGAATGATGAAAAAAAAAATAGAAAAAATTCTGAACTTTTTCAAAGAGCGTTTTTAATTGAGATTCGGAATGAGTTGAAAAAAGTGGAAATTACAAATATGTGATTTGCTGTGGCAAATTTTCTATTAGTTGTCATTTACCATGGTGGATAACAAAACACTAACTCCTCATGGGAAGTGGTAGCTAGGTATCTCAATTTTCAAAACAGTGGTATGTAGCCATCTACTATTTTTATGTGATAAAAGTGTGATTAAAAAATTCTCGAAAATATTACAACTTTTTTCAAAGACCCTTTTCCGTAATAAATGTCTCTGTGCAGTGTGGGAAAAGATTTACGAAATCAGTCTTCCCCCTGCATGATATTGGGTGACAGGCCGCCATTTGTCACCGTAAATTAGATACATTTTTCAATTTCTTGTTATTTAACTTATTCTGAATATAAATTAAAAATGCTCTTTGAAAAAATTAAGGTTTTTTCACTTTTTTAAAATTATTCATTCATAATTTCTCAAAACTTCTGCATGATGCAGCACTCAACTGACAATTTCAGATGGCGAAAGATGAAAAAAAACATCGAGATAACCTTCGAAAGATAGGGGAAACCAGGGCAAAGTGGAACGGTAGCAAAAACGAATTTAGAGCGAAATTTGGACACCTTTTTTTTTAACTTTATTAGTCGAAAAAAGATGAACGGTCAAACATTTCTGAGGGTCAAACAGTGGGGTATATCCCCTTAAGCCAGGGTGAAACTTCGAACCCAGGTGGAATTTGGAAGCCCTCGGTTTATAAGGATAGTCGTTGAGCGAGTCTGTATAGATTAAGGGATTCCTAAGAAGTCACGAAAATTTTGGGCACAACCCATTTTGCCTCATACGTCGAGGTAGGACATAGTTTTCCAGGTATGTGGCTTCAAAATGCTCCTCGTACCACAATTGTCATTCGAGTTACAAAAAAGGTTATTACAAAAATTTGGCTATTTCCCTTAGATTCTGAAATATTCCTCAAAAACTTAGGTGAAGGATAAGTCAACTTAAGAATGTCCAAGTGCTTTGGCTATTTTTTGTTCAGTGAAATGCTTTTCTACTTTTGTCGTCAAATATCAGAGCTTTCATTTTAGCTCCATTTGACCCTAAGTTTCCGGACATTTTGCAATGATATGATTATTTAAAATGTGAAAGTCTGAATTTGAATCTCGATAATGAACCGTCAGAAAATATTTTTAAAATGTGAAAAAAAACAAAGTTTAATGTTGGAGGAATTCATAAAACAATTAAAAAATTGAAATTTTTGAACATTATGAGAATTTTTTAAAAATAATTTATAAACAATCAATTTTCCACGATAAAAATCATTTGTTCGGAATCGCAACAAATTTATTCATATTCAGAATTTTACTAGAAATCGATTCCATGTTTAAAAAACTAAGGTATGCGAAAGTTTAAACAATTTCAATTAATTATTTATAAGAAGGGAACGTTTAAAAAAAGGATAATTCCCTACAAAATTATTATTTGAATGACGCTGAATATCCATGATTTTTGTAAAATTTTTGTCACGCCAATTCATTGACCAATGTGATGATTGAAAATTGTTCAATCTATACTGTGGTCCGTACCAAACTATAAAAGATACTTGGATATCCTTAAACGGTTCTACCGCTTCGTTACTGAATTGAAACAAAAAGAAAAATAGTTTCATTCTATGGAATCTAACGAACATTGAAAAGAAAATGTTCAAATGGGATGAAAATCGTGCTGCGAGGAGCATTTAAAAGCCAAAACCTCGAAACATGAGGTTTTATCTCAAAATTGTCCTTACTATTTTGAATACTTCATAATATACTAAGAGTCGCTCCAATATTCTTGTCAACTGGAGATTCCCAAGTTCTATCTTGGTACCCCCTCAAGAACCCAACGGTTCTTAATTTAAGACTTTTTACTCGAAATATGGTTACAAGTCGTAGTCATTTTTTTTATTTGACCCTCAACAACTGTTAGTCCTTTCGATTACTTCTCTGTTTGACCCTTAAGCGTGTTTGACCCCTCAAGAACAAAATTTGCTACCGTTCCACATTGCTACCGTTCCGGTCTCCCCTAGTACACCCGGGCCTTAATTCAATATTTATTTACATAAAAATTAAGAAACAATCTGTTCTCCCCTGCAACGTATTGTTGAAATGAGCTTGAAAATACCTGATTTTCCTTCGACTTTCCAAACGTAGTCTAACATAATTCATTATAATTTCTATTTCGGTATTTGCTTCTGCTAAAATGAGTTGATTCACTTCTAATAAAAAACGGCTACATGCGTGATACACAAGGCGTAAATTGTTCGTTCGATGGAATAACCAATACTAAAATTTATATTTATGCATAACGAATATCATATACACTATTTAGAAAACTATATAAAGAAACATCTATGTGTACAATTTGCTTTATCACTTAGATTACTTGTCATTGTATGTTACTTCGATTGTTCAGTTTAGTTTTGTTACAATATTTGAATTCACTCGAATGTTGGAATTATAACTTCTTCACATACTGTGATTTACTTGTCTAACCATACAAAATGTCTCATTTTTGTAGAGTATTTCACAAATTTCTCAGAAAGGGAAAAATGTTAAAGAACTTTTTTGTTTTTCATGAAATTCTCGGCAAAAAAAATCTTGTGATAAATTTCCTTCAAGTCATTCTTTTCCAGTATATGCAAAATCATCTGCAAATCCATTTGTTGCAGACTCATTTCGTGTTCACTATCATTTTACTACTAAAGTAATTATGTAAAAGAACATCAATGTTTGATCCCGAGGGATTATTCTGAGGGGTGGAGTACAAAAGTGGCTAAAACAAGTGAACATTTTCATACAATTACAATCTACATTCTTAAAAGTTCAGTTTTGAGCAAGAATATTTTTAATAAGTTTTGTTCATTGATAAAGACTACCACTGTTTCAAAGTCCACCATCAAATCTGTTGGGATGTTCAGAGATTTGAGGGAATGAACAATGGGCAATCACTGCAGACAAGGAATGCCATAGTGATGTATTAAAGGAAGATGAATGAAGAAAATTCACGTGTATTTTACATTGTAAATATGTATATGTAAAATTAAAGAGTTTACAAAAAAATGTCAAAGGAATTCTTCTAAACCTCTTCATTTCAAAGATATTTGTAAAATGGCATGTAAGCTTCGACTTTTATCATACGGCTATCAATTAACGATACTATCCTAAAATATATATCACGAATAAATGAGTTTATCACTAAAAATGATTAATGGAAAATTTTGAATATTCCGTAGTGACGGACGAGGAAAATGAGCAATTCAAAAATCCCACCAGGTGAGACCATTTTATACATTCAACCCATAACAAGCATAAGGCAATTTGCATACCATCTTGTAAATGATGTAATTTCTGAAGTTCTCAAAAAGTATTTTGTCAAGGAATTAGCCATGTAAAAGGGAAAGAACCGATTTATACAGATTTATGAATATTTTTTTTTATTATTCAGCACAATTGATGAATATTCAGAGGTACTTCAGTCTTAGTCCGTACGAACTCTGTCGAGTATTCATTAGTATTCTTTCTTTCAAGTTAAAAAGTTTTGGCAATGTTACATCACACTCATTTCCCTTATTATTTCGTGATTATTCAAAATTTGTTCTATCTTATCCGAATGAAAATACTGATTTTCACGGATAAACTTATGCTCGGTAAAATTATAACTTTTGAAAGCTATAATTAATTAGAATTTTTTTTTTTTAATTTACATACCAACCAATTTATGGCCGAGAGGTCAATCATTCATTTCCCTGATAGATCTAACCCAGAGTTAACTCTGGGTCAACTCTGGGTGTATGGAAAAAACCCAGCGAAGAAAGAGAGAAATTCTGGGAAATTTCCATGAACTCAGAGTTAACCCAGAGTTAACTCCGGGTTTGATTCATCAGGGTTTGACAGTAATTCAGAAAAAGATTCCACATTTGGAAGTATTTGAAAACTAAATCAAGTTAAATGATAAAGCGATTGAGGTTACACATGAAATGCAAGTAATTCAAGAAAAAAAGATGAGAGGCCCTCTTACAGGGATACTACAAATGAACTATTTCAATTTTTTTATCCAAATCTAAATAGTACATTACATGCCCGAGTTTTGGAAAACAGATCACCGTCCCCCACGTGCAAGACTGTCTTCCGAGCCGAGGATGGCAAGCACGTGGGAGAGGGTGATATGTTTTCCATGGCAAGGTGTGTATATTAATTTTCGTGTCGAGGGACCTGAAAAACCCCATTTTTGCGTTGGTGATCTGTTTTCTAAGGCTCAGGCATGTAATGTACTATTTCGTGAGAAGACCCGGTAAACCGCGATTCTAACCTCGCTTCGCTCGGTTTGATCGCGGTTTACGGGCCTTCTGACGAAAAACTGCATTCATCACATGGTCCAAAAGTATTTTCTGACGAACGTGGCTTTGTAGGCCGAGCCGAAGGCGAGGCCTATAATCATATTCGCCAGAAAATACTTTGTGGACCTTGTGATGAAAATAACTATTTCGTCACCAGGCCCGATAAACCGCGATTTTAACCTCGCTTCGCTCGGTTAAATCGCGGTTTTCGGGCCCAATCACGTATGAAAACATCCTATAGGATGTCCTATAGGATTTCCTATAGAATTCACTATAGAGTTTTCTATAGAAAGTAACATAAAATTGAGACTCGAAACCAATCGGTCACAAGGGTCAGGATTAGGGTCATAAATCTGATAGAAAATTCTACAGGGAATCCTATAGGAAATCCTATCAGAAAAATCCTATAGGAAATGTTCGAATTCTCCATAGGATTTCCTATAGGAAATCCTATAGCATTTTTTCATACGTGATGACAAAAAATAAGGTTCGACACATGGCCGTGGAGAACTTTTCTGGCGAATATGAGGTTACAGGACGAGCCGCAGGCGAGTTCTGTAATGATATAATCTAGAAAAGTTCCTCACGGCTTAGTGTCGAAATGTATTATTAGGAACAGGGATGCAAAATGACGGAACATGACATTCGTGACCGGTTAACTTACTCAATTGTCAGTAACTTTTTCTCGTTGTTATTTATGCTGAAAAAACGTCTATCTAGATGTAACCTGATCGTCATTTTTGTGCTCGGTAATTTTTTTTCTGTTTTTTCATTAATTTTTTCAGAAACTAGAATAAAATTTTGAATAAAACCGAAACGGAAATCGAAAATATAGTGAATATTACCTTAGTATGTGATTGCTAAAAAATCAGAAAAGTTTTGGAGAGCTTTTTTATTTATTATTATCATAGAATCTATAAAATTCAATTATAGTAAAATAGTTGTGTAAAATTTTTCATTTAATAAATAATTTCGGAAATCTTCTCTTTTAAGAACTAATTAGAGAACTCTTTCAAACATATGGTGCCCAAAGTAGGCTATCTCTTACTAAAATTTGAAAAGTTCTGGGGGTCGAATCTCGAAGTAACACGGTAACATGATGAATGTCGTGAATGCTGAACTAATTAGGGGGAAAAAATCGACAGGTTCTATCTAGATGTAAAAGTGGCTGTCAAAGTTTTTCTTGTAATTTTTGTAAGACGGAATTCAGTCGCTTTTTCTCTGATCACAAATGGTCAGTTATTGGCCTTCAGTCAGTAATGTGTAATTTTTATATAAAATGACGGTAAATTAACCGGTCAGCTTTGTCCATTACATCCCTAGTTCTGAATTTCAACGTTCTTCCTGCATGATTGTTAAAGCTACGGATAGTAAAATTGGTATCTCCACTCTTATTGAATTATTCTCTGATTAATCTCCAATTAAGCTATTATCTTATTGAGTTCTGGTTCCACATAATTATTTAATACGTGTGGTGCCTCGTTGAACTCATCGAGTTCATCACCATTATCAGCACCTTGTGCTAATAAAAAATACTGTTCACTTCGTGTTGGCCAAAGTAAATGGGCCATTACGCAATAAGCGTAACAATCAGCAGAATAAGTAATTCCTGAAAGTAAGTCATTTAATTAATTTAGTTTATTAAATGGTTCAGTGCGATGAATTGCTTATCAATACTTTCAGAAAATCCAACTTACCAAGCAGAAGTTTAAACCTCCACAGGGCACTAATTTGCAATGCAATAAGTGCAATAATGGGCAAATATATGAACCACACTAGTGCAGATGCACCAAAGTGAAGTAAAAAATTTAATTTCTGGGTGTTATGTTCATAGGTCATTGTGTTACGCAGCTCAAACAAAAACCAGATCATGATGACACTGCGAAATAGGAGAATGAACCACCCTGGCCAAGTTTGGTACTCGTCTATGTCCTCGACGATATCCACCTCAGTCTAAGTAATTACAATAATTTTCATCGCTATCATTAATATGCACTGGTAATTCTTATTCATAGAAAGATATTGACGAACTCACCATATTCCATACGTAGAGTAAAATATGTACAACACCATAGCAGAACCATATAAGAAAGACAAGTGGTTTCCAAGTTAATTCAATCCTCGTAACAGCCCAGCCTTTAGCTAATAGGAGAAGAAGTAACATAAACGTTGTCTGCAACAATGAGAACAGTATTGTCGTAATTGGACATAATTTATTGTCTTCTTTTTGCAAAACTTCAAACATTAGCTCATAAAATTTTCTCCAAGTCGGACAAACGTTACTAATGTTTACCTTCCGGTAAAATGGATTTATACAAAAAATTTCATATCTCCAGAACCACTCGGCCGATTGCGCCCATCCAAAATATAAATCTTGAATATCATGAGAGCTATGATCATACCAAATTTCAAATTGCTATTACCACTTTTCATCAAGTTATCATATGTACAAGGAGGAAATAGTAAAAAAAAACAGAAAAACGGGAATATCTCTGAATCTTTGTATGGACGGGTATATATATATTTTTATTGATCTATATAGTGGCCACCGAGACGAGTATTTTGAAAAAGGAAAAATTGAAATCCGTGGAGGAATCCTTGAGATATTTGACAAAACATATTTACACAAAAGGGCAAATATCTCAGGAACTGCAGGGCCGATTGTGCCGATCTAAAATAACAACCTTTATTATTGTAAGAGTTAGTACCATACCTAATTTCAACTCGCTAACCCAATTTTTTCTCAAGTTATCGTGCGAACAACAGTTTCAGCGAAAAAACAGACAAACAGCAATATTTCCGAAACTTTCTATGATTGACGTATAAGTTTTGATCGGTCTGGATAGAGGTCATCGAGCTGAGTATTTTGAAAAAAAAAGTGTCAAATCGGTACAGTAGTTTCCGAAATATTGATGAAAAACGAAATTTAAACAACTTGCTATATCTCAGGAACTACTAGGCTGATTGAGCTGAACCAGCGCGTCAAAATAGAGTTTATTCATAGCTATCAGGGGCCAAAATTTCAGATTTCTATCTACCGATTTCACCGTATTTAAGTTGAATTTTCGAAAAATTGTGCACCCAAAATCCGAATTGCCACACACATGCATACAATGACGCTGAAGTTGGCAGCCGACTTGGCAGCGAAAGTTCAGGGCCGTAGCAAGGATCTGTGGGGCCCCATACCTTAATACGAAAACTGAAAATTGTTCCTATTTAAGTTCTAAATTCCGAAATGATCTGAAACAGCCTCCCCATTCTCCACAATATGATCAACCCCCTTTGTTCAGGCCAAGGGGGTGGTAGGGAGATGAAAATCTCAATTTTTGTCTATTTTTTGGGAAGAAAAAATTTCTGCACCATAAATAGCCAGAACCACCAGCACATTGTTATAAAAAAAGATTAAACGAAACACCCTCGACCCCCAGGAAAATGATCAAGTCTTTCAGATTGGTCCAAGGGGGTGCTAGGGGGTGGAGAAATGAAATCTTCGCGTTTTTCAGGGGGGAAAAAATTCTCCGACTCATAATAAAAAAAACCACAAACAAATTTTAATGGAAAAATACTCAGTGCAACTCCTCCTACCCCCAGAAAAATCATCAAGTCTTTCAGAGTGGACCAAGAGGGTGCTAGGGGGTGAAAAAATGAGTTGCACTGAGTATTTTTTCATCA